ATATAAATAATTGTGTAACGATCGACGTTACAGTTGTACCACATCAGCCAATCAAAACGACTTTCCATCATGCTGCGAGTACAATTATATTAATTTATATTAATTTTAAATCAGCCTACAAATCCAAAATAGGAAATAAAATAATATCACTAATGAAAATGCATTCAAATTCGTTCATATGTTTTTTAAAAAAAGTTAATTCTAAACCTTCTATTCCGGAAAATTCCCCATGATTAAAAATTTTAAAAAAATAAATTAGATTTGATCACCAAATCAACATGTCAATCATGCTATACTTTTTATGCATTTGCGAGAATTAAAAATTTCAAGAAGTTTGCCGAATTCAAATAAATATAAATATGACTGATCGAAAATGTAATTACTGAATTAATAGAAGATCTAGAATCTAGGATGTTTCTATCGATCATTATCGCATAAATAATGGGATCACATCTTTTTTGCAAAGCGTTAATAATAATAAAAAAAAAAGAAGCTTTTTCCCGAAATTTCAAATTAATTAATGGCGACAAATGTGATCAATGTTCTAAACTAGAGTGGCCTCGAAGCGAAACCTACCCGAAACTAGTTTCAGATTTTTTTAAAAAAAATCGAATTCTGAAACCTGAAATTCTCGAAACTATAATCCGAAACTCCAAAACCCTGGTTGACCAATCAGGATGCAGGATCAAGTGTAACATGAAAATCGAAGCGATAAAAAAATCAGGAATTTTGTCTATGAAACTGCTCCTTTTGTCCTAACGAAAAAATTTCTTGCGAAATTATAAGATCTTCTAATTATTTCCTTATCCGAATCCTAACCTAAGCTTTAACCTGATTGTTGTTTGTTTTGGTTTTATTTAATTATAGGGTGGTGATGCGTCGCGATGAATAATAATTTTCTAAATATAAAATACATAAGGCCATGCAAACTAAAATAGTTGTTTCTCGTTACATGGGACAAGCAAATAGGATCCGGCCGGTCAGCAAAAAATGCTATATTTAAAATTTTTTTTTCATACAAGAATAAAATTTTATATAAAAAAATTTTACAGCTATTCTCAAATTCTGGGACAACGAAAAATTTCAGTTTCTGTGTTCGACTGAAGTCAGTTACCTATTTATTCCTATTCTGTAACTTATCGAATTCGGTCATCAGAAATTTTTTGTTGTCCCAGAATTTATGAGAACAGCTGTAACTTTTCTAAAAAAGTTACCCGGTTAGGTAACGAGAAGCAATTTATTTGTTTGCATGGCCTAATATATATAAATAAAAATTTATATTATATATATTTGAGATAAAAAAAAAAACAATATTGTGATATGCTAGCTAAGAAATCTCAGAAGTAAATTATGCCGTACATATTACATTATTTTTTGGCCATTACTATGTGGAAATTGAAGTTCTAGCAGTTTCGTGGTTTTGGATAATGCTCCGAATTAAACTATTATTATATGAAAATCGAATTCTACAGTTTCGAGTTTCGGAGATTATAATCCGAAACCCGAAACTTTCGGATTTGGCACAAAGAGTTTCGGAGCCAACTCTAATGTGCAGGGTTGTTAGTGTGGTAAGTTACCGCGGTAAATTACGGTAACTTACCGATAGCTTACCAATAAATTTACAATCCTAGCATGGGCGTCATTTCGAATTTTGGCCGCATTAAGCTTAATTCTGGCCGAATTGCCATTTCGAAAATTTACAGTAGAACAAGAAATTTGACTTTCAACAAAAATTTCTGCATGTTTTTATTAGACACAAAAATTAAGAAACTTGCAGAGAAACCGCGATTTGCCCATCTCTAATCTCAGCTATTCTGTGCAACTGAATTTTGTCAGCATAAATGATGCCGTTAGCAATAGTATACCTTTATTCATGAGAGAAGCTAATTGCTGAAATATGCGTGTTTCTTTAAATTATGCAAATCGAATATTTTATGTATAAGGCAAATTATGCGGATATTATGCCGGATCATAATCCCGGACATTTTATCTCATCGAGGCGAACAGTATCAGAATCACGCCGATACACCATGTGATATTTATTGTAAACGTCAAAATTAGGCATATCTATCTTGAGTCGAAAATTACCAATCAGAAACTCATGATTTTGGTACAGCTCGGTTCGTCTCGATGAAACGAATCAAATGGTATAAAAATCATGCGATTCAGTAGTTCTCGAGATATCATCGTGCGTCAAATTAGTCATATCTACCTTATGAAAAAAAGATATACAGTAAATAGTTCTTTGAATTCGAATAACAATAATGTTGTAGGCTAAAAATTATAAAGAAGCATTTTTTTGAAAATGAAAAGAAACACGAATCAGATAGAAAGATTTTTTTGAAAACGGTGGTTTTGTTTATTAAAATTTGTAAATTTTTTTTAAATGACGCAAATTACTTTGGCTAAGTAACGTGTCACCAATCTGGCACACACTCAAGGGATACAACATGATTAAATCATAAATTTACTATAAATAAGGCCACAATCTAATTTTTGGGTTTGTTCACTGGAGAGATTAAAAGATATGCGATATCTTCAACAGAATCCAAGAGTTCCGAACTTAATGATTTGTAAATAACTTGGCTAGTATTGTGATTGACATTGACAAACCCATAGTGCTTACAAGCTGGACAATTATTAAAAAGTTGGCTTACTAATAACAAATCATTATCAGATAACTTTTTTGTTCCAATATTTGCGTAAGATATTTTTTCCCGCTTAGAACTTTGCCATTTAACATTCTCTTGACCAAAATCGAAATCTTCATAATCATCAACGTCAATAACACTATTATAAAGCATGTATGTTAAAATGATGATATCATTGCAACTTAAACGATAAAACAATAAAGCAATTTCTTGGCTCACCAAGTGTATAGTGCTAAGTTTTGCAATACTGTTTGATCAACAGGTTTGTTTATATCTTTAAGATTATAAACAAACAAACACGCGGATTCCTTATAAGTTGAAAAATGTGTACCAGCGACAATTTCTACTGTCTTCGGATCATAGTTTAAGTCATATGGAATGTATTCTGTTGAATCCACAATGCTTGTAGAACTTAATTGAGGATTTTCATTTCTCGTGGAATCATTATCACTTCTAGAACTTGATTGAGAATCAGCTTCTAATGCGCAAATGCCAAAAATACAAGGTTTGTAATTATTAATTTTTATGGTACAAAGATCCTTTTTCATGGATGCCATTTGTTTCATACATCTAAATGCCAACGGAAATTGGATGTTAAAATCGAAGTTTGTTAGCGGTCCAACAATAATCCATCCGAGCTTAATTAAACAAGTTGCAGAACCGGAATTCTCCCATTTAATATTGTGAACAATAATTACTGGTGTATTTCTATCTTTGTTTAAATAGTCTACATGAGCAGAAAACAAATTTTTATTACTTTTGCTCATTATTGACGCGAAAATTTGGTAATTATGTATATTTCCAATTTCCTTTATGTGCGAAGATAAATTATAGATGTATGGTGATATTGAATTCGTATAATTTCTCAATTCAAAATTGATATCTTTAGTACCGGCTGTATTTAAAATTTGTGATATAATGAAACTAGTCATTTATATATTGATTTTCATAATATATATCATAATTAGAGAAAATTTTTACCTTTTAAAATTCGGTGACCCAAAGCATTCAAAACTTCTTTTTGTAAATCTCCATTCAACAATTCAAACAATGAATAAATTTTGTCATAACCAATTATTTTCCAAGTAGATGCATTTCCAAGAGATTCGTCCCAAGATTTTATATTTTCTTTGAAGTATTTATCTTTGTTCCCGCTGATAACTGAGGTAGAAATAACTACATCATCACTTACTGTATAATCGAAAAAAGTTATTTCAGAGGCTTTAATTTAAAAATGTTCATCTCACGAATATTCACCTGATTTGTTTTTAACTATAGCACCTCCTAATACAAGGCGATGCGCATAAAAATGTCCATATTTTTCCGATACATTACGGAGTTGCTTTATTATGCCTTCTTCGCTATTCTTTTCATTATTTTTTAATGCAGCTTCAACATCTTTAATAAATTCATCCGTTGCACTAATGCCCAAAATTGTGATTTCTTTTTTTGGTCGCCATTCATGTAAATGTATGGTAGGTGGTTTAGTGTTTGCTCGAGGTAATTTAAGCGAATTATAAAACCATTCTAAAGCGTCCGAAAATTTTCCATCAATTATAAGGCTGCGTTTACAATTAGCATCGGGTGCATGATTGCACATGTATGATTGGTTTTCACAATCATCATATCTTGGATCCGAAAATTCAATTTTATTGATGTCAATTTTAAAAGCGTTGTCTCTAGCCTTTTCAATAGAACCTTCTTTACAAAATTTGAAACCTTTCTCGTTTTTTAACAGTAACCTATCGAATTCTGCTTTTTCTTTAATATATAAAAAATTGGCACCATTATCATGTGTTCCGATGATTTGCAAAACTTTGAATTTAGACTCATCTTTTCGTAAGACTGGGACCCCATTTTCATTATTTATTATAAAACGACAATTAGTTCCCATATAAAATTCATCATATTCTTCAAGTTTAGTTCGAATAAAATTGAGAGTTTCCTTTCTAGGCAAAAACATATAACATTCTGTCCTTTTATTTTCTGAATTTGATTTAATTATTGTGATGCCAATTTCGTCGTCCATTATTTGGGAGGAAGAATTCATTGTTGAAAAAAAAGAAGTATCAATTGTTGAGGAAAGGGAAGAATGCGATTCTATATAGTAGCTTTCACCTTCAACGGATTTATTGGGTGAATCTATTAGATGGGTTTCACTTCTGGCTAATTTCGAAATATTAATCAAAATTTTATAAACATGAAAACAATAATAATGTTCGAAATTTTCATGTCCTAATGCTGTTATCATGAGATCAATATTATAGTTCAAGGTGTTCTCGACATGTACAATAATACATGTTCCTTAAAAAAAAGGAACTAAAGGACGCAAATTGTTATACAAGTTACTCTCGTCATAGTGTAGTGAAGATTAATTAAAATCTCGATATGATGAAGTTATCTATACAATATTGGGCAGTAGATGAAAAATAACAGGAAATTTCATCAGAGTTAATTTCACTCCATGTGCTGCGTAGCAGCGTGAAATTATCTCCGCGAAAAAAAATTTCTGTTATTTATTGTATGCTGCTATCCGACATTTATATATGACCGTGCGAAGTTTTTTCGCAACTGATTACGTGATTACGTAATTTCGTGTAAAAAATATCATGGTAAAAAAATTTACATGATCATATAAAATGTCGGATAAAATATTTTAGTTCACAAAATAATTAATAGTGTTCTCATGAGAACTCTACACGCTAATTTCGATCGAACACTGATAATAATACGCTTTGACATACAGATTGAATTAGACTCATTATTCCATACTTCTATTCGATTGCGACCGTATTCTTTAGCCTTCTTTGATGCATTGTCAGCATGGAGAAGTAAATCGTCACAAGATTCTGTTGACGAATTCATTTCGGAAACTCCAATACTAAGTGTAATCGATAACTTGATTTTGTTATAAGTAAACGAATGTGCTTCAACAGATCCTCGAATGTTTTCGGCAATTTTAAAGGCTGAATTTATATTAGTGCCCTTGAGAAGAATAGTAAACTCGTCTCCACCATATCTTGCAAAAATATCCTCAGAACGGACATGATTATTTCGAATCAAATTAGCCAACTCTTTTAAAACGTAATCTCCAACTATATGATCATTTTGATCATTGATGCTTTTAAAATTATCTAAATCTAAAAACAGTAAGCTCAAATCACATTTATTTTCCTTTGCATTCTTGAATTCATTTTCCAATTTTTTCAAAAAATAAGCCTTATTATAGATCGATAAAGGTTCATCTATGCGGCTTTTATATTCTCCAATGGGAAGGTATTGAAATTTGCTACGCCCCATTGAAATCACATCATCTTTTATTAAAAGACGTGAGGCTCGAAATTCAAGTTTTTTATCGTTAACAAAAATACCATAATCGGAACCTAATTCATTAATTTCGACTTGTCCTTGATAATTTACAATGATTCTTGCATGTTTTTTAGCAATTTCTTGGTCTTTTATGATAACATCGTTCGAATTACTCCTTCCTATAGATATTTCGCCTGGAGGAAGAAAAATGTATAAATTTAGAACCGACCCTTTAGTAACTTCTAAGCAAGCTGCATTGTTTGACGTAAACCGAATTCTGTCTCTAAAAGAGCTCCCCGAAGAAATTTCTGGGATATAATTAAAATCTTGATATACACAATCAAGCTCAATATCATTGAGACGATCAATAACTTCGTTAATTAATGGTCGTTTTTCAGGATTAGAATTCCATGAATCACAATAAAGTTCTTTGTAATCTACAGGAGTCAAATTAATAGGTTCTTCTCTATTTTCAAGAGCAAGAAAAGTTTTTAATTTTTTTATGTCTTTTAATTCAGACCTATCACTAAAAGGAGGCCTTCCACTTGATATTTCCCAAAATATTACCCCCAAACTATAAGCATCGGAAAATTGATCATATTTATTATCGTTACATGTAGGATTAAAGAATTTCGGATCCACATAAGCAACATTTTCCTCAGTGATGTTGAGGATAGGTTCTGTTTGACTTTCAAGAGACATGGATGAGCTAAAATCTATAATCATAAATTTACCGTTGTGATGCATTATGTTTTTTGAGTTCTATTATTAATAATGACATAAAAACGTAATTATTAAAGAGAGTCAATTGCAAGTAACAAAACCCTTTCCTAATTGGTATACTAACCAAGTCACAATGTACAATATTCGCTTGATGAATATATTCCAAGCCTGTAGCAATTTCTATGGCAATTCGCTTTTTATATGACCAGTTACTCTTTGCGACATACTCTTCCCTTAAATGTTCCCTAAGGTTTTTATTACCGCAATACTGAAGCACCATTGAGTGAAATTTCTTGGAAGGCTCTATATTAACGAATATTACGGTGCGTTAATCAACCAAAGCACTGAAAATATATATAATCAACTATTGACTTGAATAATGACGCATGTGAAAAGTACCTTTAGTTACGCCATAAAAACTGATCACGTTATCGTTTTGGAAAATTTTTCTTAGATTAGCTCTCTATTTATTCGTAATTTCGAGCAATTAGAATAATACAGTATGTATATTTTTAGTAAAATTCGAAGTTTGACTCTATATTTAATTTTATAATAACATACTTCTCTATCAAATTTGTTATAATATTCATGTTCATTTTGATATTTTTTTAAAAATTTAAGGACGACATGATTATTGGTCTTTATAAGAGCATGTTTTACCTCACTTGAGCTATCTGAAATATTTTCTAAAACTTGAATTGCATTGTAATCAAGTTCTTTCAAGTAACCTTTGTTAATTTCATCTATAGTTTGATTCATATTACACGAGAAAAGATATATACAGTACGTATGTATGTACGTACGTACGGTACGTACATACTTAATATCGATGTGTGTGTAGTGTATCACCAGTATATGGGAAATACTTATTTGTGCGAGTGATACAAATTCAATGAAATTCAACGTAAAAATATACCAAGTTTGTGAAATTAAAATTTAGGGTTAGGACATTAAAGTTGGATGTTGTAGAAATAAATAATCTACTTCCTATAGTGCCTCAAGGCAGGTTTATACACTTGTTTTCTTATATTTTCCTTTTTTCGTTTTTTTTTTTCGTTTTTCTTTCAGGATAATCCCATTTTACGTTCTCCGATTGGCTAATCCCTTTTGGTTTGTATCACTCGCGCACGCCAATACAAGTGTTACATACGTATACGTATAAACGTTGGAATAAATCATAAACGTAAAACATATTAATATGGTTGAAGTTCAAAACGTTGCAGAGAGCATCAAAAATATTAATTCATTAAAAATTAACCATGGCTTGATTATAAGTGCTGAAGGAGTACGCCATTCAAAATTTTCGGCATATTCTCTAAGTTCGCAGCCTAAAGCTAGAAAATTAAATATGCCGCTTGGTAACTCTTTTCAGATAACGTTAAAATTTTCTACAAAACAGAGAGATTCTTTCTTGTTTAAAAATCATATTGATCACTCTGCTGTTAACTTGAAACATTGTGACTGGATAACTGTAAATCCTATTGAAAACCCTTTAACAAATGAGTCACTTGTCAAAGATGTATGTTTGAAAATACAATGTTCGAAATTGGAGTTAATTGTTGAAAAAGAAAAGATAAAACCTTCTAAAGAAATGGTTGCCAAAATAAAAGAAGCTCTGAATCATTATGACCCTTATAATGAATTAATGGCCGTTTTTGAAACCTACGGAAAATTTCTTCCTAGAAAATTTGTTCTTGGGCATAAAATACACAGAGTTACTCGTTTAATTGTGAATGAGAGTCATCCAAATCCTAACTTTAAAGAAGGAGAACAGTTTACCAATTTTATGACAGGAAAATATCATGACATTTTAAGTCAGTGGGAAAAATACATAGGCGTATATGGTTTTGATTCGTCTTATTTTGCATCTGTTGACAAAAAATTAATAATGAAAGATGAAATTGAAATGTGGATGAAGACTTGTTTAGAAAGTGATTATGAATCATTGCAAATAATCAGTTGGAATGAATTATATCCAATATATGAAATATTTGACGAGCCTCTTTGTCAAGAAATTAAATCTATTCTTGGAATAAATTATAAGCCAGAAAGTTTTAATGTAAAAGAAAAGGTGCTATTTTCTGGAATAATTCCAGTTAATGTCTCACCTTTTTCTTATCGGGTGAATTTTCCAGTTTGTTTTAAATCAAATGACTACCAACTTTTTGGAAAACTCTTAAAACAAAATGGTCAACCAATCGATAAAGTTATCATCAAGTTCAAATCTATGGATATATACGGATTCTATGCTTTTGTGGAAAGTTTTGACACTATTGAGTAAGTCTACATATTTAATTCATTATTATTGATTTAATTAATTGCAATATCTCTATTGATATTTAATTTATAGTGAGCATAGAGAATTGCAAATAGAATGGATATTGATCGGAATACCTGCTAAGATTGGATTTTTTAATATTAATACACGAAATATTCGCATTTTAAGTTCTATTAGCACCTCATTTTCACCAAAACCAAACGATAATAATTGGAAGATTTTATTGGATGTTCAAGAAATCCTGCCACAAAATTCAGTCCTTGTTACTTCATTTAAATATTCATCAAATTATGAACGAAATTTCAAAGTTGATGACCTAAATTACTGGTATAACGATAATAAAATCGAACTTAATGTTTATGATGCTAATAATGAAAATTCAACATCTTCGCCTATGGAAATATATGATTGTGATGCTGATAATGAAAATTCGACATCTTCGCCTATGGAAATATATGATTCTGATGAAAATAATTTTAAGAATAGCGATGTTAATGACGCTGAACCAAAATGCTTAATTCAATGTTTCATTCTTTCCTTAGAAAGTCGGGAAAAACTAGCAATTCATTTGAACGTTATAGGCAAAACTATTGGTCGCGAGGAAGAGATAACCATTAAGCTACAAACCGGCAAAATAACTCCATTTGAATCTCAGCCAGAAAATGCTACGCTGAAGCGTGAAAATTGTGAAGAAAAAGGTCTTGATGTATTTCTACTCAATAAAAAGCGAGCTAGAGAACTACATAAATACTTTTCAACAAAATTGATTCATCTTTTTTTGTTTTCTTAATCAAATACTAACCTTTAATTAAACTTGCTAGTTTCTACATCTTCCGAACCGGATCCACGTCATTTATTATCCCGACGATCGCTTCTCGAACACAACTTCACAACTTCGGGGTAAATATATAAAATAAAGTTACATATACCCCAGATTGGAATCGTCCTGATTCGAAATCGGGCTGTCCGGATGGGAATTATTTTGGCAGAATTGGGTTTTAGGAAAAAAAAATTATTAAGTTTAATTAATATGGTTTGGGCCAAAATTATAAAATTCCCATCAGGGGTGTCCTGATCCTGAATCGTGATAATTCTCATTTATTGTTAATGGAATTCTCTATTAAATAATACGTCTCTGTTCTTTCATTTTAAAATACCAGATTGTAAGTATATAGCTTACTTATGATATCACTGCCACTATCAGAGTAAACTTTTTACACACATGTTTAACATTCTAAATGTCTCAACCAAGTAAACCACGTATTAATACGGCTTCAGCATGTACAAATTGTAAAATAAGGCACCAAAAATGCGAAAGACTTTCTGAAAATATATGTAGATACTGTAGAACCTGCAATCTTCCTTGTGTTTATACCATTGGTAGAAGACGCGGTCCAAAAAAGCGTAGAGAACCAGCACCAAATAGAAGAAGAAGAAGAAGAAGAAGAAGAAGAAGAAGAAGAAGAAGAAGAAGAAATAATCAAAATATCATATCAATTAACCCTTATAAAAAATCCCCCCCCTATTTAAACTCACCAAATAATCAAAATATGATACCAATTAACTCTTATGAAACTACTACTGAAGTATTTCAATCCCTCTATTTAAACTCACCAAATAATCAAAATATGATACCCTCTTATGAAACCCCCTATACTATGATACCATTTGTCTCTTATTTTAACTCACTAAATAATCAAAATACGATACCAATTAACTCTCATGAAACTACTACTGAAGTATTTCAATTCCCTTATTTAAACTCACTAAATAATCAAAATATGATACCAATTAACTCTTATGAAACCCCCTATTTAAACTTTGAAACTGCAATTAACTATCATGAAACTAATACTGAAGTATTTCAATCCCCTTATTTAAACTCACTAATTAACTCTTATGAAACCCCCTATTTAAACTTTGAGACTGCAAATAATCAAAATATAATACCAATTAACTCTCATGAAACTACTACTGAAGTATTTCAATCCCCTTATTTAAACTCACCAAATAATCAAAATATGATACCAATTAACGAAACTACTACTGAACTATTTCAATCCCCCTATTTAAACTCACCAAATAATCAAAATATCACACCAATTAACCCTTATGAAAATACTACTGTAAACTCTCAATCCTTTACTGGAACTTATAATACTATTCCCACTTTCGGAAGTACTGAGGCGTTCATTGACTTAGGGCTAACATCAAACAATCAAAATACTACGTCAATTAACTCTCATGGAATTGTTGCTACTGTTGTTAGGCAAAACAATTTTGGGGAAATGGCGAAACGCCCTGGCGAAACTGAGTAAATTTTGCAAGGCCTGGCGAAACTGGTGAATCCTGGTGAAACTGCGAAACCTGTTTGTTGAAATCTAGAGAAGATTAAATCTTCTAAGACTTTGGGAAAGGCTAAGCCATGTTGATGAATGAAAATATTTTGCGTGGCTATTAAGCACAGCATGTGGTTTGTATAAAAAAATGCGATAGTTTTATGTTTGTATTTGAGTACTATTAAAAGAAAATAGACTTCAGACTTTTGAACTTATTAAATCAACCCAGCCTTGAAAATCCAAAGCCTGAAACCTTGTTTTCTTTTAGTCGTTTATCTATGTATTGATATTATTTATGTAAAATAAATCTAAGATTTTTATCTAAATATTTAAATAAATTTTATTGTTAAATTGTTAAGATTTTCTCTTTAGCATTTCGTCGTCGAAACTTTAAGTAGCTTATATATGTAAGTATGTTCGTTAACAAATCATTTCCTATTTATTGCTCTATTTTATCTAGCCCTAAATCTCAATTAGGGCTAAACTTCCTAAACCATGTAATAACATTTATTCATATTTTTTAAAAAAATTAGTAATATGTTATTAATAGTAAAAATTCTGAATTTGTCAATATAGTAAATGCAGGTGATGATATTTATTTTCTTAAATTTAAACTGTTTTAATATATGGGCTGTGTTCTGGAAAAAGGACCAAAATGACAATTTTTTCAAAGCAAATTTTTTATATAAATCAATTTGTATTACAGTCAAAGTCATAAGTATCCCACCCCCTCTAACTTTTTAAATTTAAAAGATATAGCTTTGAAATTTTTACAGTAAGTAGTACTATAAAAATCTAGATCAGTAATTTTTTTAAAAAATTTTCAATTACTACAACAAAAGTTAGATGAGAGCCAAACTTTTGATAAGTTTTTTTTAGAAAAATAAAAAATAATAATTGAATTTAATTAAAAATTAACAAAAATTCAGGATTAAAATCTAAAATTTCAAAAACTTAGTATGTTAAAATTCAAGTATTTTTATAGTAGTGACAAAAAATTAAGTTAATTTGATGAGATAGTTGTTGAGAAATTAAAATTAAAATTATGTTTTAGTATGTATCCTTAAAAAAAAGTTTGTGTGACTAGGTTTTTATTAATTTTCATATAGAAAATAATTTAACTTCTATATGAAAATTAATAAAAACCTAGTTGCACTGATTTTTTTTTAAGAATACATACTAAAACAAATTTAAAATTAAAATTTTTTTTTTTTTTTTTTTTTTTTTTTTAAGTGAAGTTTTTTTCTCAATTCCTTTATTATTTATTATGCAGATATTACATTGTAAGTTTACATAAATTTTTAAAGGAAGTGGGGATGGAGCTAGTTTACTCTAGACCTTAACCTTAGCTAGGCAGGTCGAAAGACCTCTAGACTATAAATCAAGAATGTTATATGGTGAGTAGTTTTTGGTAATATATTTATATTTTCAAGAATATATTTTACTGTGTAAGAATTTATTTTCAAGTGTAAGTTGTAGTGGAGTTATTGTAGTTAGAAGATTTGATAAATGAATAGTATTGGCAGGTAGGATTCTACTAGAGATCTAGATGGATCTGTGTACTTCTTTTATTATCATATGGTGGAGTTCTGGTAAGAGATTTAGTACTAACTTGTAATTTTAGGTAGGTACTAGTGTTTTTTTGGTTATTTTTTTTTTATTTTTTTTTTTTAACTCTTTGATAGTCTTGCCAAAGCTTGAATACAACTTTATTTATTTAATCAATAACAGTAAACTATTTCAACTAAATTAAGTTTAAATTGCAGATTTGATATTTACTGGCTATGTAGAATATGCCTATTAGCGACTTGTCACACCATCTTGTATACAAGTTGAATAGATCTTGTTAGCCCATCGAGAGCTAATCTCTTCAATTCTTCTTTCTTTACTAAGAGCAAAAGAAAGTGGTGATTTTATACTAAACTACAAAACCACTAATTGTTGAAACAAAAATAAACTATATCTACTAAAAACAAAATAAATGAAAAGGAAGTTTTAAAGGAAACAAAAAAAGGGTGAAAAGAATATATAAAAAAAGAAAAACAAAAAGAAAAGCCCAGAGGGCCAACAAGGTAGAGTGCTACCTCTATCAAGAAGTAGCCAAGTAACCTAAAAGTTACTATAAACAAAGAAGTAGCCAAGTAACCCAAAAGTTACCATGAACAAAGAAGTAGCCAAGTAACCCAAAAGTTACTATGAACAAAGAAATACACTATTATAACCTGTGCCAAGTTAAAGTAAAAATTATATAACAACTACAACTATTGTATATCTCAATTATAAAGCCAAGCCTTAACGTATACCTTCCAACTACCAACCAAATCCAGATATCTCTTCTAACCTGAGACCCGATCAAATTCACGTAGAGAACTACCCGCTACCCAATCCAAGTCATGTGAAGTAACACTGTATCCTTTGATAAACAAGACACATTGGTTATAATACATCGAGTCCGTCTGGATTTGGATGTAAACAATGCTGATCTTTTGAATAAAGTAAGCAAAATCTCTACTTTTTGTCAAAATTTTTGAAAGAAAGGCAAGAAGTCAAAAATAAATAATAAAGAAGTCACTTGAGATAAAAAAAAAAGAGTGCAGTTTTAGAGCAACATATAATTTGTTGTTTCCCCAGTATTCTTCTTTGAAGTAACAACCTAAAAGCTTTATTGATGATACCAATTCTGACCTGTTTGCCATCAAGATTTTTTATACAAAAGCACCTCTGCCAGTTATCTTGTGTAATAATACTCTTGGCTTGCATGCCAAACATCTCTTGTAGAGGAGTCCCCTATAGTAGTAAGTTGACCTCTAGACAAACCACCGTTAGGTTATGTCTTTCCAATAAAATTTTTGTTTTTCTGTTAGTAGAAATTTCAGTCCAAGTGATCATTGGAAAAAGTTGGTTTCTTTGGTTATTAAGCCTATTAGAATTTGGTTATCAATATGAATTTTAATATAATTCTAAATAAAGAGGTTAGTATTAATACTATTGATATTATGTTTAGATATGAATTATGTTAGCATGTTAGTAAGGAGGGTTTGGAGTATAATGTTGCTAGTATAACAAGTTAACCAGTGTGGATCTGTCTCAATTGCATTATTATAATGTTTACAATTTGGTGATATATATATATATTGGTGATATTTGAATAGGTTAAGTTGATTGGGTAATTTGTTTATTAAAATTTTAAATTTAAAATTTTTTAGCTGTAATATATGAGGTTCAGTGTGGCGTTGGTGTAGGTTATCATCTTGTTTAAGATATTAAAAGAAGTAGGGATGAAAGGAGGGTTCTGGGGTTAGAATTCTGATCCTAGCTTTTCTGCCTTTCTAACGTTCTCTATAAGCCTTTCTAGCTATATGAATCCTATATCGAATTCAAGCTTTAAATTATATTAGAGCCAAATCCTGTTAACTTACTTTCCTTATACCTAAATTTGGGTTTCCAACATTAAGGTATACGTAGTCTTTGTTAATACTCTGGCTATATTTTTAATCCCAAACAAGATAATGAAAAATGTATGCTATATTGCTTGCCCTTAAAATGAGCTGAGAGCACCGAGGACCGAAGGTCCGAGTGTGCTTCTCTGCAGGACCATTCAAGCCTAAAATGCATACTATTTTTCATGTTATCCTAGAATTAATTCAAAAAC